CCAATTAAATTGTAATCGTATTCTCAGGCTACGTTCATTTTGGGTTACTGGGTGACCGGGAAGGGAATGGTTAATCATATGCACTATTACCTTAGAACTATTACACCATTAGTGTTGATGTCTCATTTCTACACTTTCTTTATTCATTTTATATAATCAATATCCACAAAGTACCAATTAAAGTCTAGTGAAACCACTTCATACTAAAATAAGGTCCGAAACACATGCGAGGCCGAAAATAGGGGATGGAGTAACTATAATCGGTTATACGGGGCTCCGAATAATAATCAAGTTAAAATTACAAATAATTCAGAAACCTAGGAATTCGCGATTCAGTGATATAATGTTTCAGTTTGTACATAGGAAAAAAAATTTTCAATAAATTTTTCCATTGGACCGACTTTCGAGAATTTTATTAATAATTATTATGTTCTACACAATATTTAACATTAATTAACGCAAATTCCAATCAACAATTAGGAGAACACTGATCTCTTAAAGGAGACTATCAACACCTTTTTTGATTAAGTAGATAATAAAATTATTACAAGGTGTCTAAAAATAATTTCAGTTGGGTTTTAGTTTTGTCATAAGAATTAAACACGCAGATTTAATAAACTGCATAATTGGGAGTGTTTTGTATTCATATTTAGCATACAGGATGATATTAGCATGACAGGACATAAGTTCAACCAGATTGTAACGTCTCGGCTCGGTTCATTTGGGTTACTGGGTGGACCGGGAAGGGATGTTACATATGCACTTACCCTTAGACTATACCTTAGTGTGCATTCACCTCTATCCTTTTAATTCAATATACAAAAGTAACCAATAAATTCAGGAACACTCTAAAATAATGAACACTCTAAAATAGGGGTGAGTATTTGGTTCGGCCAATTCAGTTAATTCAATTAATTCAGCCAATTCGGTTCAGTGAATAAATGTTCAGTTAAAGAAAATTAAAATTTCCGCGATCGGTTAAAAATTCAGTTAAAACTTAATTTAACCAAATTAATCAAATTAACCGACTCTTAAAACTATATTATTTTGATTAAGTAGATAATAAAATTAAAAAATTAAAAATATTTCAGTTTTTATTTTAATTAAATAGCGATTAATAACTTCGATTAATTTTTATTTCCGTTAAAGTTGGTTAATTATAAATTTCGATTAATTGGGTTGGTTAATTGAGTTTTCATTTTTTTTAACTTTGATTCGTTAATGATCAAAATTAATTCGGTTAGAACGGTTCAGTTAAATTCGGTTAAGTTAAAAAAAATTTCAGTTAATTAATTTTGATTAAAAATTTTACTCAAACCGACCGAATTGGCCGAATGCGGATCCCTGCACGAAAATTAAGCTTTAATCAATATACTGACGATCTTGATAAATCTTGTCTCTCTGTAAGTGATAAAATGAAATAATTTAATTTCACTTCAATAAAACTTCCATAAAATAAGAGACGATTTTTTTGGAGGTATTCAATAAATAGAGGCCAGAGATGAAAATTAAGTGGGTACTCGTGAATTTTAAACTATAATAATTGTATCTGTTTAAAATTTTATTATCTGTTTCCATTCTAAACCCGTTTAAATTTCCATATTTAAACTTGTTTAAATTTTTACTATTCGCATCTATTCAGAATTCATTTAAAGTAAACCTTTAAACGGGTAGGGCATCCGCGGACATCTACTATCCAAATTTTTACTCCCTGAAAAATTAAACTATCCAAATTTAATCTTATTTAAAATATTTTTTTTCTAATAATTAATAGGGCATCCGTGAGTATTCACTATCGAACCCGTTAAATATAATGGGTAACGGATAACAGGTTTTTAGAGATTTATACTCATACTCTACCCATATTTATTATGGATAATAATTTCAATATATATATTTATCTCAAATTTATTTATAATTATCTACTTCCTCTTTAAACGAAATGGAGCAATTACCTTTAACGTAGCGATACCGCTTCCATCTCTAGTAGCAGATAGTACTTCCAAATCTCCAAACAGCAAGCGAAAGTAATTAAGAAATTTCCAGCAGACAGCCAACCCACATGATATTTATTTATTTATTTTTAACCAAAGCAGTAGACAAGACGTGTATAAAATAATTTGGATGGTCACAATCACTAAATCTTAGGTCCCATAAATGGACATGGCTGCTTTAAGACCACAATTTCACCACCTTAACGGTTGAAATTTTTGACCTTTATTTTATTAACTACAAGCTGTTGTAAGGAAGATGCTTGCTTGGTAATGTGAAAAGACACCCATGATTGAGATTACGTAACCCAATTCTACACTCTAGTGTGATTTCAATTATGATTAGGTTCGTGCAAATTATATATTATTCTTTCGCTTTTACCTTTTTTCTTTCTTGGTGTAAAAGTAAATTCTTAAGTAAACTTGTTAAATTTCATTCTTTAATAGGTGTGTGTGACATGCAACTTATCTCCAAAACTTCCCATTTAGCCTTGTCTAAAATACCTGGGATAATGATATTGCTTTGGAATTTTGGGAATTGATCGGATTGCTAACTTTTATAATTTCACTAGTTGCGATCCCTCCTTTTTTTTTTTTTTTAAATTTCATTCTTTATAGGTGTGTGTGACATGCAACTTAACTCTCCAAAGACATTCCCATTTTACATCGCACTGTTTTCAAGAAATAACGTGTGTTGTTAATCTAGACCTCCATGTGTAATAATTGCTTTGGAATGTTTGGGAAATTGATGGTTTCGGATTTGCTATGACTGGGCGCTTTTAGTACACTCTCTCTATTCTAGTTTTTGCGAGTCGCTCCTGGTTTTTTTTTTTTTTTGTCTCGAAAAATAACCCATATATAATACATCTAAATTACAAAAAATTGCTTTTTCTATTCTATAAAGAAAAATAATGTTCAATTAACACTTATTCTACAATTTTCAGTGAGATAAAATTTATCGCTAAAATTGCAAGAAATAATAGTAATAATGAATTAACTCTTCTTATCTTTATATAACATCGGAGGAATTCTTGTTTTGATTAAACATTTATAATAATACATAAATTATATTACATATGAGGGATAAATAAAAAACATAAATAAATATTGTAATAACAGTCCTTCCATTATTTTATTATCTATTATATTTGGTTTAAGTAATTAGATGGAATCAAGGAAGTGTAAATGGTTATGGTATGCAAAGAGCAAAATAGCTTCGAAGGATATAAAAACAATGGTAAAAAAAAAAAGAGGTTTATGTCATTCAAATGTAAAATCAGCCTAATCTAAAAAAATGAATTTGTATGTAACTGACTTATGGCTACAAGTTATCAAAATTTTATGATTAAGTATCATAACACATAATTTTCTATTTTAAAATTAATTTTATTCAAATATAAAACTATTTATTTTATTATATTAATGTTCTGTTGTGTTTTATATTATAGAGGATTCTCTTAAATTAAGAGTAGGAAATTTCATCCTTTTGGTGCCCCGAAATAGTTTTAAATTTATAGAGAACTGCCTGTAAACTGTTAACACCAAACATGTTTGAACCTTAATTCTTGCTTAGGATTTTTTATAATTGTTATTTTGTATCTATGTTTAGGTTACGATATTTCTTTTGTAATTTCATGGCATTTTCTTTTTTTTTTTTTTGTGAAAATATTTATATAATAATTAAATTATATTATTTCTATTTTAAAAATTTTTTATTTTCAATTTCATAATAAAATTTATGTAAAATTGCAAGAAATAATAGTAATAATGATTAACTCTTATCTTTACATGTAAATTGTTGATTATATAATCAAATATAATAAAATAAATAAACACAAAAATTGTATAAGTCTATTATTATAATTATAGGTTTAAACATGGAATCAAGGAAGTGTAAATGGTTATGGTATGCAAAGAGCAAAATAGCTTCGAAGGATATAAAAACCATTTAAAAAAAAAGGTTTATGTCATAGTAAATCAGCACCAAATGAAATGTATGTACTGCTTATGGCTCAAGTATATTTGATTGTATCCCTCAAATTAAACAATTTTTTTTATAAGTTGTTTATAGAGGTCCTTAAATTAAGAGAAATCATTTTGCCGATTGTTTAATTAAGAGAACTGCCGATGCAACAATGGACTTTCTTGCTTGGATTTTATTTTATTTTTTTATGTTTAAGTTACGATATTTCATCAATTTTTTTTTAATGCTTTATCAGGATTGAACTAAGTTTTGGTATAGCAAAGAATTCATTACCTAAATTTGATGCTTGGAATCAAGTCACTAAGATTTGAAATTTTATTATTTCCATACTTGCAAGGTAAAGATAAAAGCTATTTTTTTGAGTTGAGTAATTAATTAAAGCTCCATCAGTTTAGATTTTTAAAACTTACCCTAAGATTTTCTTTTTGGGAGAAAAAGGTAAAAGAGAATGAAATGAAACTTGGTTAAGAAAGAAATAAAAATAAACATTTATTTAGAATAAAGTTCAAAAATCAAATTGACAAAAAATATGAGAAATGTCAGCTATATCTCAATCAATTAAAACTAAACAAGAAGATCGTAAAGGGGCATTTTAGCCAAATCATGCAAATGGAAGCCAAATCCAAAGTGTGATATTGTGTGAAATGCAAACACTCAAAAGGCAAATGGTGGGCTATGTGGGCCAACCTTTGAACCAATTTAAGCAAGCAAGACGAGGCCAACTTGCCACCTCAAATCATCTCTATCTAAATTCAACTTTTTTAAATTTCCAATTTTCACCCTTCCGACATTAAACCAAGGTTTTTATTTTTGTAGCCACTATTATTGACCAATAGTCAAAAAAAATTAAAAAAAAAGCACTCCTTAAAATTAATACATCCAACCAAAGAATCCAAAATTGACAAACCAACCCAATCAAACTTTGACACGTCATAAAATCAACTGTGGTTTGCATCCACTTGATTGGAACTCCCCTAATGAAAACCCTAATTCACCTCCTTATTATTTAACTAACTTAACCCCAAAAACAAATGGTACTCTACTGCTAGTAGTAGAATTTTTAGAAAGAAGCTAAAACCCTCGTTTTATATTTTATAAAAAAGGAAAAAAGAAAAAAAAAAGGAGAAATAGCCCCAACTAAATTTAACCCAAACCCTAGAGAGAAATTCACCTTTCTTATCCCAAAATTTTCTCAGAGCTGTAACTTTTTCTTGCTCATGGAAATTTCTACCTTACCGGAAAATTCAAGCGCCGCCACCGGCAACCTTGTGAATGAGGTGGGTGGCGGTGGGTTTGATGAAGAAGAAAAGCTAAAAGTTGAAGAGGGTGACCGGTACTTAGTCGGTACCCGGTGGCCACGGCAAGAAACCATGGCTTTGTTGAAGATAAGGTCTGATATGGACGTTGCATTTAGAGAGGCCGGACTGAAAGCTCCACTTTGGGAAGAGGTTTCCAGGTCAGTTCAGTTTTTCATTTTAAATTTTCTTGAGAAAATTCGCTAGAAAATGATGGAAAAAAGGAAAACAAGTAACTGCCCTTTATCTTATTCTAGATAATCTTGTTTGTTTACCTAGAAAATGATTGTTTCCGTCAATTTCTATCTTTATAATCAATATTTGAAGAAAATATCACTTACCCATTTGAAATTTGTCTAGTTTGTATAGACTGAGTTTGTATGCATCAACTTATGGTTTATTAGTGTCAAATGGGTCTTGTAAGCTTTCAAATGCTGTATCTATTGATGTTTCTAGTTATTTAATTGTGTTAGAGATTGATAATTGGTTAATTCAAAGTTAAAGGATTGTGAATATATGGAATAGTTTTTTATTGTAACGGTTGCTATCAGGAAATTAAGTGAGCTTGGATATAACCGAAGTGCCAAGAAATGCAAAGAAAAGTTTGAGAATATTTATAAGTACCATAGAAGAACAAAAGAAGGCAGATCTGGCAAGGGAAATGGCAAGGCTTATAGGTTTTTTGAGCAATTAGAAGCACTAGACAATAATCAAGTGTTGTTATCATCTTCTTCCACAGATATAGCTCACTCTTCCATGGCTGCAGTCGCAGTAAACCCAGTAAATATTAATACAAGTACTATTCTGAGTTCAATCCAAAGCCCAAGTATAAATTTTGTCGATAACGGCTCTACTTCGGCCACCTCTACTTCGAGTGAAGAATCGGAAGGAACAAGAAAGAAGAAAAGGAAATTGACGGAGTTTTTTGAGAAGTTGATGAAGGAAGTTATTGAGAAGCAAGAGAGTTTGCAAAGGAAGTTTTTGGATGCAATAGAGAAGTATGAAAAAGATAGAATGACAAGAGAGGAAGCATGGAAGATGCAAGAATTGGATAGGATTAAGAGAGAACGTGAATTGTTAATCCAAGAACGATCAATTGCAGCTGCAAAAGATGCTGCTGTGCTTTCGTTCTTGCAGAAGTTCTCAGAGCAAACTAGCTCAGTGCAGTCGCCTGATAATCAATTAATTCCGGTGCAATTGCCTGAGAACCAAATAGTTCCTGCAGAGAAAGTAGTGATGGCACAGGAAAATAATAATATTGAGAGCTTTGGTCATATGAGCTCGTCAAGATGGCCTAAAGAAGAAATCGAAGCCCTGATTAGTCTAAGAACGAAACTTGATATGCAATATCAAGATAATGGACCAAAAGGGCCATTATGGGAGGAAATATCAGCAGAAATGAAAAAGCTTGGTTATAATAGGAATGCAAAGAGGTGCAAAGAAAAATGGGAAAATATGAACAAGTACTTCAAGAGGGTCAAAGAGAGCAATAAGAAAAGGCCCGAGGATTCAAAGACTTGTCCTTATTTTCACCAACTTGATGCCATATATAAAGGGAAGACTAGGAAGGTTGACAATCCAGTTACTTCTGGTAATGAATTGAAGCCCGAAGAACTTCTAATGCACATGATGGGTGGCCAAGAAGAAAGGCAACAGCAGGAATCAGTGACGACAGAGGATGGAGAAAGTGAAAATGTTGATCAGAATCAAGAAGATGACAGAGAAAATGACGATGAAGATGGTTATCGAGTCGTCGCTAATGATCCTTCTGCAGTGGCTATGATGGAGTGATTACAGAAAAAGGAGAGGAACTAAACTTTTTTCTGCAATACTGTGAGATGTGGGTCAGAGTCGGTGCAGAGACTGTTTGATAGCTTTGTAAACACACATTCAAGCTCAAGAGCTTATTATGAAGGCCTCATGGAGAACAGGCATCTCTGTATATGCATATGGAAATTATTTGTTGAATAAAACAGCATCATAGAGATAGAGATAGAAGACCAGAACTAGAATAAACAGTTTAATGTGTAATATATAGTATACTTGTAATTTTGTTTTGATTGTTCACACGTGTGTAAAAGTGGGAAATGTTATGTTTTATTTTTTCTTTATCAATCAATTTTATCTGCCATCACTTTCTTAATGGGAAAAAGAGGGAAAATGTTTGGTTATTTTTGTATCAATCAATAAGCGGTATTTCTGGGTATGATTGGTTTTGGTTTTGAGTGGGAAATGTTACTGGTAATGATGTAATGGAGTTAATCTACTTTTGAGATAAAGTGGCCATTTTATCACTTGTGGCAAAGCAGTAAGTTACTTTGGCAAAAGGAGAATCAACCTTCTTTGCTTAGTTTACTCATGGTTAAAACGTCATTAGTTGCCTAAAGTTTAGTTCTAATATATAAACCTTTCAAAGATATATAAATTACTCTCAAAAGCAACTTTTAGAAAAAAAAAAAAAAAAAACAATTTTAACCTTAATGTAAAATAGATTATAAATTTTTGTTTTCTGTTAATTGGGAGGTTCATTGGACAAATAACGTTAAGGACTCAAATCTAAGAACTCTGCCTATAGAATGAAAATTATAATGATGGCAATTTGGCCCCAACCTCCATTCCACGCCCCAACCTCCATTCTCCTGGGGCAGGATGATAGACAATCGGCCCCGTCCACCCCACGGCTTTGTTGTCATCCATAGTAAATAATATTATTAATTTGGAACTTACAACCAATTTGAGAACTCAAGTATTTCTTATCATTAACCTCTTATTTCCAATTTTAAATATATATTGTGTTAAAAAATATTTATTTGAATAAATTTAATTATAAGGAATTCAACATAATTAAATCAAATTCATTCCATAAAAATTGTGGCTACCGCAAACAAATTGCACAATCTTTACATAATTGAACTTTTGGATAATAAAAAAAAAGCATATTTTTCATTATCTTTCTTTCTATTTTCTATTTCCTCCTCTCTCTTTTCTTTTTTAATAAAATTTTCTCTTCCTTTCTTCTCTTCTTTTCACTTCCTCTCTCATTTATACCCCCATTCCATTTTTTTTCATATTTTATGTTTTCTCTAATTTTTAAGGATATTTTAAACAATTATCATATATTGAATTCTAAAATTATAACAAAAACACAAATGTTCTCATTTTAAACTTATCTTAATAAATATAAAAAATTATTTATAAATAAACTTTAAATGCATTTGAAACAAATACTACATTTTCGAATGGTTTACAAATACTACATTTGTAAATATATGTTTAAAATATTTTAAAATTTTATGCCAATGGTCTGTTTTGAAAAATTAACTATTTTGATAAGTATTAACTTGGGTTACTTTTTATAAAACATCATCATAAACTCTAAAAACTTATTTAAACAAGATGTCACTGAACACTAGAAAAAATAAGTTAAAATGCTAAAAACTACTCATAAAGTTGTTTCTGAACACACTCCAAATATAACTTGAAAGTACAATAAGACTCTTTTTATTTCACAAAAACATCCTATCTTTGGAAGATAGTTTCTAAAATAATTACTCATTTTGTTCTCTTTATATAGAAATAATTGAATTTACACAGGGATTAAGATGGTAGTTTAATTGAATAATTTTCTCTATTTATGCATATTTTACCCTTAGTATTAAACGGGCTCTTTAATTGATAGAGAGCAAATTCATGTGGATAGATCCCAATGAATCATTTATTATAAGATTCCAACCAAAAATGGAGGGAAATGTAAGCTAATGGCATTAATTTATGATTTTTCAAAATTTTTCAATTTAACATTCCACGTTTGAAATTTTGAATTTTTCTCATTTTCTAAAGTCTTGAGCAATTTCAATCAAATGCACGCAAATATGACGAAAATGTGAAACCATAATTTTTTGATATTCTCTCTGTCTCTTCAACTTTTACAATATGCACTTATATAAATTTGGAACAGAACATGAATATGTAATTGCATTCACAAGCTTTTCAAACTAAGGATAATAGAAAGAGAGGAACAATATCTTTACATTTTGTACAACTTATTCATAATATGAACATGAATTTCATCGGTACTCAGTTAAATTATAAAATTACATTAAGTAATAAGGAGTTAACAAAATTCGTGCACATTTACAAGGTGTAATATCAACATAAAAGGTCTTTTAAAACTATAGTACAACCATCCAATTGTGTGTCTATATTTTCAATAATTACATAAATAGTCACTCATATTTGTATTCACGTCCATAAAGTTGAGTACACTATTAAAAATACAAATTGAAAATAGTCATCTAATTTGACTTTGAAAACTTAAATGCATTAAATGTCTTTTCTTTATTATCTATCACTTTCCTCATTCAGAGTACAATTTGCACGTAGATTACATAATTAATATGACGACATTTTGGACCTTTTTATCTGGCATCCCTCTCAAAATTTTTCATTTTAAATAAAGTTAATGTAGTATCGATAAGTAGTATTGGAAAGTCTCAAAATTGCAGTCTTGTTTTTCTGAGCCGCACTTGTTTGAGAATTACAAGAATGATAAAGAAGGAATAATCCTTAAGCGTTCCTATTTCAAATTTACTGGACTAATGCATGAAAATCTCACGTAAAGTAGGTATGTGGATTGGTCTTCACTAAGACAAAGATAAAGGTGAAAATTGTCAGTAATTTTTCCAAATCTGAAGCTGTTAAATTTAATTAATAAGCCTTTCAAGTTGGTGATGTGAAGTCAGGTATAGTAGTTGACTTTCTTTGCTCTATAAAACTATGATTAAAACTAACAACTTTCCTTAAAATTACTCCCTCCATTCTTTTACTTTAAACAAAATTTCCATTTTGAGTGTTTATTTTATATAGAGAATTTTATTCTAAATGAAAATTTTCGGAAGGATATAAAAAAAAAGTCTAAAATACCCTTTAATAACCTATTTTATTTCGGTTAAATCAACAAGAATAGTGGCAAACAAAATATGAGTTGTGCAATTAATAAGCTTATGTTTCCAAAGCATGAGTAATTGCTACGTTTATGAGCAGTTCAATAGAAATGAGCTTAGCTTTATGAATTTAAGCACGAATAAGAGTATTGCACCAGCCAAGTACATTAATAATAAATGTGTTCTTGAAACACTACACAGGTGACATGGCTTCATAACATTAAGTGTGTGTTTAATGCTAGTTAGGGATATTTTAGGCATCATTTGGACTAAATATTTGAAAAAACAAAATATTTAATTAAATTATAGCCACACATTTTATTGTTGCACCCTATTTATATAAAAAAAATCTTTATGTTAATATTACACGTCATTAATCTGGATATAAATTTAAAATTTATCGAACAAATTGAATTGAGATTCTTTTTGTGGACCATTTCTATACACTTTTTATAGAAATAAGCTCAACTTTACACATGTGGACATAACTATGTCTATTTTTTTTGGAAAATTTTCATAATACAGTCACAGATTTATATTATTGTACTATTCTTTTAAAAATTGCGTTTGAATCGACACTGCGTCTTACTAATATGGGCATAAAATGTCATTATAGCAAACAAACTCAACACTCTTCTTTTTTGGACTTAGCATATGAAGAAGATGAGTTCGTCATATATGATGACAACTTTCTGCTTATTAATGCTCTATTTTTAAAAACGATGTACATCTACAGAATTTGAATTGGAGGAGACTCTTTTAATCCTTAAAGATTTTGATTAACAAATGCACCATTAAATTAATAAAGCAATGAGTTGGTTTTTTCAACATTACTTACGTATTTAAAGTTGATTAGGGGTATTATAGGCAAAAAATGGGCAAAATTTTTAGTTAAATGAATTTCTTAATTCTAGAGCTTTTTCTGTTTTTCTCTAAAGTAATAAAACGGAGAGAGTATTATTTTTGTCACACTTATAAATTATTATAGATGGTGACTTGTGACTTGTGAGTCCCACATATCATTTTATTTTTAGGAGGAATTTGTTACAAGAGGTGGTAATTCATAGTGGGTTAAACAAATCAAATTTATATAGAATGCATTTGAATTAAATCGATTCAATTAAGTTTAATTTTTCAGTTTTAATTTAATTTTTTTAAAGATTTTTATATTTTGAATTTTATATAATAAAAATCAAAGCGAATCCAAATATAAGTTTAATTTTTTTTATAAAACTAAAATTAAATTAAATTGAGCTTCTCAGCGAATTATGTCCACCCTATAATTAATTAATTTTGTTTTATTTAATTAATAATTTGACTCTTCAGAGGAGTATGCTTTATATAGCAATTTAATAGTTTCCCTTTGTTCTTAGTTGACTAATTGAGGTAGATTGTTGTCTTGATTGAATAATGGACCCACCAAATTTAGACTTTCATTCCTACAGTTTGAAATAATGCATTAATTAGTGTCTGCTAATTAATTGTAAACTTGAACTTTTGAAAATTTCATTAATGAACCGAAAATGATTTCGATCTTTATACTTGAGGGAGAAAGAGAAAAGTCGACCGCAATCATACTGTTCCCTTGCTTCTATGTCATGTTTGTTCAATTGGCCTTTCCTGTGTTTGCATTTCATGATCAAGTTCTTCATTTTCTCTTGTTTCATTCTTGTATTTTTTTTTACTTTTTTTTTTCTCTTATTTATGGTTAATTTAGTTGTTGGAATTTTGTTCTGCTCACTCTCTCTGAAGCTTTTCTTTTTTAAAATTTTTATTTTAATTAATAATTACCCTTTGCCTGTTAAAAGGACCAGAAAGCTAATGGGCACAAGGTGTTTGTTAGAAGTCTCAAGAAGGTGGTGTTGGTCTGTTGGAACTTGGAAGTTTATGGAAGGTTTGTTTAGTATTATTGTTAATGCTGCTGAAGTAAAAAATTGCTTCATTAAAAATTTTGATTACAGTTTTTCGTATTTACTAATTAGAAAGCTACAAAGTAGCTAAACAACATTTCATCATTAATTGCTTTTTTCTCAATATTATCCAAAATGTTATTTTCTTTTTTCAAAAAAAGTAATATAAAGACTATCAAACTAGCTTAGAATTGGCATTGGCAATAATTTCATGGAGAGCAGAGTTTTTCAAAATTTAGATCTTTCAATAACTTGGGTGATTATATTCTTAATGAAACTCTAATTTATTA